GTTATCACCAAATCACAACGCCAAACCTTCATTTTACTGGAAGTAAATGCCAGATAGTCCACGCGACATTAGCTTGACTCGCGTTCGCGTTTCGATACAATTGGTTCTCGACTGCATTGAATTTTAAAATTAGCATACTCGTAGCTCTGGAATCATATATGTTGGGGGAAGGATTAGTTGACAGACTACGGCGCACTTGTCATAATATATACCAACGTACAAATGTTTCAACAGCGAAATGGAAGGGGGGGGAAGCGTAAAGTGTTGAAGGATCATTTGAACAAATAAACATCGCCGCTTCATTTTCCATCGTTTCGTTTGTGCAATTTGCGCGCGTGCATTATTTGATGGACATTATCAATCGCCCCGAGTGCGGTGTTTCGATTTTCAATCGTATACGTACTTGGCAGGTATTAGTGCCGACTAATGGCGAGAAAAAAACGACTGAGCGCGCGTATAGGAACGTCGAGCGTTTAGGGGCGGTGACGTAACACGTGAGACTTCCAACACAATGGCACTTAAATCAGAGGCCAGTTGCATTTTGTTACGTGTGTACGTTTGTTTGATACATTGATTCGACTTTATTTTTCAAAATTGGACGCCAAAGTCACGGACAATGAAAGGAAATTGGAAATTTACGTTTTTGAAAGTAAAAACGAGCCACCGTGGATTCGTCAGAGCATAAAACACCCTTTAACTTATGATACGTTCTTGCTACGAAAAATTATCAAAATTATTCTATAATACTCGTTGAAAATCATTTACCTCACTATGATTAACTGATTATTCTAGTTATAAGAATTAATTGTGACTGTGACCCGTCAACTTGGTGGTATTTCTCACTGCCTAACTTTTCGAGAATTTCGAAACAGTAGAATCTAGACACTCAAGTTCTACGTCAATTCACTAAATTAAAGCCAAAATTCTCAAAAAAGGGCTATAAAAGCTTTTATAGTTGGCGAAGAGAGAAAAAAATGGAAAAGAAAATCCCTCAAATCAGAGGAAAAAGAGTTGTCCCTTTGCTCAGACAGCGACTTAAGATCTTGGATTCACGAAGAAAAAAAAAAAAAGAAACAGAAAAAAGCAAGAAAGCTTTTGACTTAAGTCTCAATAAACACACAGACACCAGGTATATAAATAAAAGTCAAAGAAAGTGAACGAAAATCCCTTGCTTTCTACGGCAATGTCACCGAACCTCGAACACAAAGCCAGCGCTTTCCAACGATAATTAGAATTCAGTCACGTGACGGGCCTATGAATACCGAGGAAAATAAAGCTTCAAGTCCATTTCTCGGCGAATACTCATTGTTTGAGGAGCACCGGGGGAAAGCTCATCTAACTTTAGTTTTTTTTTTCATTTCACGCCGTGTTTAGTACTTTTTTTTGCACTTTTTTTTCCTTTGCAAACCCCCCCCCCCCCAAAAAAAAAGAAATGATTTTTCGTCACGCACGTAAACATAAAATGTCAACGCACCCTTCTATAATTATTGCTCTCAGACGAGCTCACGGGCTTTTTTTTCTTTTCATCCTGTGCGCCTCGACGAATTTGCCTATTCGCCCGCAGGTACACACCTTCCCTCCTATTTCGTTAATAGCACGAAATAATCGTCGAAACAAAGAGCTTTGGATACACGATTGCACGAATTAAGCCAGTGCTGCTCTCTTCCTTTGCACTTGTTACGGATATTCGTAATTAAAACACACTTGCGAGAGCTCTTTCTTTTTTTTTTTTTTTTTTTTTTTGTACTGCTTTTGGCAAGAGCTCGTGAAACTTCAAGAGGATTACTTGTGTCTTTTAGCTTATTTTCTAAATCAGTTCCCCTTTTGCTTTAATAATCTTTTTTTAAACTGATACATTGATAATCGTAATAAAGACAAACATCAGATGATTGATTCAATGTTATTATAATAATTTAACTTTTTTTGCTATGGAAAAGTATTTTCATGATTTTTTTTCGTTTTTATGTTGTAGAGGGATCAAAAACTGAGGACTTCAACTTGCACAGTTCTGCGAAAGGTTTCGGCAAAAAGGTAAGGTTACAATTTTAAAGAAATTTGTTTTTTATTCAGTTTACTCACAGGACATAGAGATGAACCCACATCCTTCTAGATTAAAAGCTCGTCCCTCTGCCCATCTCCCAACACGAACGTAGTGGAGTAAACACAGTAAAATTTAATTAAACTATAGTATTGCAACGTTTATTTGGAGTACATGAATTTGCCAAGTACAAAATTAAATAACTAAATTTGTTCATCGTTTCCCATCGACGCAAATTCCCATTGGCATGTGCTGTACCACATGTGCAAAACATGAAATTTGCCGTGAGAGAGTACGTAGGACCTCCAAATGCGATTGATCTGCTCATCGAAATCCAAACTTGTGTGTGAGTAGGAGGGAGGGAGAAAATGTCAGGACAAGTCTCGGGGGAAGAGAAGAAAAGCCAACTGTGTGTCACTCTCGCTCTCTCTTGCGTCTCTTGTGAATTCACCATGTAATCAAATGATAAGTCCGCTTTCGCAATTTTGTCTCATTGGACCTTGTCCTCCATGTATATGTATATGAGCTTTAAATAGCGCACTCGTGTCCAATGCACTGAAATTAATAAATCCGTGACTGATGAATTTCTCGGACCCTTGACCTCATTCTCGCTCTCTCCGGGTTATTTTCTGGTAGATATTTTCGGAGGTTGATTTTATCGACTCTTTTATTTACATGTACTCTGCCCGTGCAAATTACAGCACAATACGTGAAATTACGAATGGATGATTTAGTGGTACAATTTTATTTTCCATTGGTGGCAAAATTATTTCGAAGCATATTTATTCAGTATGGAGAAATATTTTCAAAAGTGTCAAGTTGGAGCATAAAAGACATTTACGAGGACATTTGAGTAATAAAAAAAGTACTGATGAGTCCGAGTTATGCCAACGAATACACACCGTCTGTTCTTAAATTAAATACAGAAAACCAATAGACACAAGTAAGAGGAAACTACGAATGGGATATGAAAAGAAAAGAAAAGTTTACAGATAATACTAAATTTTGTTAACTGTTCTACATTGAACTGCAGTGAGTTTTGGATTGACAAACTCAAAGTCTGTAAACCGGAGTCAGGATAACCACTCTAATATTCAAGGGTTCCCATGAAACATCCTTAAGTAAACGAGGGATAGAAGAATATCACGTGAGATAATTTTCACCATATTAAATCAAGGGGAGCAAATTTATGGTGCGCAACTTGTAAGCACAGTTTAATTCAATTATGCTCGCACCACAGAGATGTTGAGTAAGAAAAGTGTGACCAGTTGACCGAACAGGAAACACAGAGGATTAATAGTACATTTCTAATTTTGGGAATCATCCATGTGCTAAGTTTTGACTTGGCAGATAATTAGCACAGCAAGTAAAAAGTTGCGTAAATCATGCAAAAATTGAGTAGGCAAGTATAAAGAAAGGTAGAGACTATAAGCAGATTATAGTTGTATGACGTAATAGATAAGCTAATCGTGTGATTCTGCCGTCAAGACCCAAGTTTTTGGTTCAATGTTAATAATCTTACTCTATTTACACCTTTATCATTACAAATATAAGAATGCACGAAGATCTAGTTGGCTGATGGCATACTTTGAACACGTGTCCATAAGTGTTAATTTAATTTCAATCAAAGATACCCGAGAACAGATCGATTAAAAATCCAGAATTTGTGAAACGTTTTCTTAATTTTTTCGACCAGATGGTAATTAATTTTTTGATAAGATATCGTCAAACAAAATGTTCGCAATACTTGAATGTGTATAAACGAATGTTTCAAACTGATTTACGAATCACAAAATTTCGTTACATGATTCAGTACGCATTAATTTTTTTTACTTCGTACATACAATGTGAATAATATTCTTTCTAATATAAATGTATCTAGTGAAACCTACGATGTTTAATACAATGTTGTGGTTTTTAATTAAATTTTAATACTGTCTTATTCGTCAGTTTCAAAACTAGTTTACTCCAAAAGTATTAATTATTCAATCTAAAAAAAAGTTAATAGTAAAAAGTAGGAGGTATAGCAAAGTACAAATTAATGATGTTTACTTAGCTGTCTTCAGTACATTATTTTCTGTGTGATTGGAGTTATATAATAAAACGTACCATCGTTTGTAAGAAAATCCATTTGAATCACTTCTGGCGTCTAGATAGCTTGCTAAACTACTCACGGTAAGTTAAAAATTTTCTTGGAGCTTTTGAAATGTTATCATGTTTAAATATGATTCGTTTTATTATTACGTTGAATAAATAACGTACATTAATATATTCGTTTCGGTTTGGCTGTTTACTGTCTGACATACGAAGTATAAGTTAGTTGTTTAAATGTGTGTTGAACCTTAATTTGAATTTTTATCTCTGCTAGAACTACAACACACACACACACACACACACACACACACACACACACACAACTTCTAAAGCGTATCATTTTTTAAAATTAATTTGTAGTTTAATAACATCAGTTAGTTTACTTTAGGATTCCAGCTCTAAGCTACGTTAAATTTATATTAATTTTAAACCAATTACTTCTATTAAGTGTAAGATTTTCAAACAATGTCCTTTATACCATGTAGCGCTGTAATTTTGTCCTGATTATATAAATTAACAGTGAATAATGTAAAGTAAAAAATCATATTTAATGAATCGATAGAAAAGGTTGTTAATAATCTTAATTAACTTGATTGAATTGCAAGTATAAAAAATATTTGATTTTATTTCGTTTTGATACTAAGTGTCATTTTTCACAACGACAATGACTTACGATGAAATTGTGCATTAGTAATTATTTTTTCTTTATTAATAGAATTTCAGCTGGTTTATGATAAAAATGCATCGCACGTATTTCTGCCTATTGTGCTTGATCATTACATTTTCCACGTGTAACACCCAATTTCTTGACGTAGCAGTCAAAGGTGTTCAATTTTTGTATCAAATATACCAATACGAAAATAACAATATGAAGACAACGATAATCAATCAAAAATTAACTGAACAAATTCATTATCTGAACCTGATGAACAGTATCGAGGAATTAAAACTGAAAATAGAAAGATTACAGTTGGACGAACCAGATGTTACGAATATGAAGGCACGGATGTATGATTTGCAAGTATGCTCGGATGAAATCGACATGCGTTACAAAGAATACATCACGTACAGCAAAAGTCAGTCACTGTACGATAAATCAACGCTGGAAAATTATTATACAGAAGTGATGAACGAAAACAATGGAATTCCCAAGTTGCTTTTCAAGATCCATGAGCAGGTAGTTGGTTTGGGTTATGGTAGTTTACTCAACATAATAGACAGATACATAGAGGTGAGAGTGAATTTTTTTTTATTTTTTTTTTTATGTGAATTAAAAAAAAAAAAAAGAGTATTATCTGTTAATGCCTAGTACATAGACCCGTACTGCGAAAAGACAAAATCCCGACAGCGATATTTCTATGATCTTTTTCTCTCCATCATGTCATACGAGACAAAAGGATTTTTGGTCTTGGAGTATGCCTACGCGTTAAAAAGGGAATTGAAAAACAGTAAGATGTACATTCATCAAATTTTCTTTTGGAAAAACCTTTCACTGCATCAAAGGTCATTTGAAATTTTTATTTTTTTCAGAAACTATGGTGCAAGAGTTCAAGGATGTGCACAGGCTTTATCATGAAAGAGCCAACGCTACTTTTCTGGCCTTCAAAGAAATCATGTCTCGTTCTGAGCAGATTATGTGGAAATGCGATCCAATAAAACACACCAAAAGTGCGACATGATGTACTTTGATCATCAATATTCATCAGCAAAATGATATTATTATTGTTATTTTTTTTTTTTATTTACAGATAAATCGTATGCCGAGTTGAGAAATGTTTTTCGCCGAGTATTTTATGACGCTCAAGAATTTCACTCAAACTTCTCGCCATTTCATTGCGACTCGCTACAATGTCCAACAATCACTAAAAAAAAACGTGTCCAACCTGTTTGTCAAGGGAATAATTGCTTCTTTCAGCAGCGTCATTGTAGCAACATAGTTAGATGTAGGCAGCTTTTGAAAAATGAAGCTTACGACGTGTGCGTTTTGGTAGGTTTAATATGTATATATCGTTTTTTCACATGTGCTTTTTCACCACGCAATGCTCCTCGAGAAGGGAATGGGCAATCTTCTCGCAGCAAAATTGCCTAATTTTTCCTACCCCCCCCTCCCAGTAATGGGAGACCTCCCGTCCCTCATCCCCTTCCTGCGAAGGGGAGAGGGGAGACCAGTACAATATAAAAATATGTATATTAAATACACACACATTGTTTGAAAGTTCGTAGAATGAAATTTTTCAAACTAAAGTTTTTCACGTAATCAGAAAAATCAAGATCACGGTCGCCGATACAGTTACGTTAACAAAGAAACTTCAGAAATATTTGCGGGCCATCCCAAGTGTGATGGTCAATTCCGAACAGTGTATAAGGTTATACAATCGTACCCTGGGAGTATCGTGGATACGGAATGTAACGTATGTGACTGTATATGCGACGAATCGGAAAACTCTGATCGGTACATCAGCCTCCGACCGGTCACATCTGACGTTCACAATAACTAGTGAGTAATGTATTGTTGATTCACCATTTTTAACAACTATTCCGAAGAATGGCAGTACTCAATGTTAAAATTTTTTATTGCGACAGTGTCGTTACTGGAGTACGATTTCAGGTGGTAAATCACACGCTTTACATTAAGATACAAGAGGGAGAATTGTTGCCATTTGGGTTCATCCATGGCAGTTCCACCAGGTGGAAGGATATTGAGGCTGCAACCGATGTTGAAGACTACTTGGATGAAATCGGTATTAATTTACTTCAAAAGACAAGGAAACAAAAACGAAATTTATATCCAACGTACCAAACTGAATGGTCCAAGTTTCTCAAGTATGGAGGTAAAGGAAGATTCAAGTTGAATTGGTTCAATGGACGTGGCCTGTACTTGGATAATTTTGAATTGAGAAAAAAAGAAATCGTCACTGGAGTCCGATTTACTTTGGATTTCATGGAAAATAATAAAATTTCTGTCATGTTGGATATACAGGCTACTCCATTAAACTACCAAAATGGTAAATTGATGACGGGAAATTCTTATTGGATGTCAACTTTTGCTTCATTACCCAATAGGTACTTGAAACGTAAATCATAATTTAGTCTTTCAAAAAAATTGATAGTGAGATTCTAAAAACTATAGTACTTTAACTTTCATTCTATATGTAGTTTTTTGTTTGAATATTAGACAAATTTTAAACGATAGTGTGACGTCATTGTGGAATTTTTATATATAAATCTGCATGAGTTTAATGGTATATACGTTTAAGTGCAAGAATAACACAATAAGTTTTTTTTTTATATTATTTTTTTTCTACCTGTAGATTCGGTTGAAGATCTTTCATAAGTAATCTCATCTAACCTTAACCAATCAGTATTTCTCTAAAGTTTTTTGTTAGTTATTACACATGCATTATAAATATTTGTTTATTGTTATGATGCAAAATAATATATTTTGTATGTTTTCTTGGGTTTGAAATTATTTCTTAACAAAACCCTTACGTTTTATTCTTTAATGTATAATGTGCTATTCAAGTCATAAAATTTAGGTAAAAATTAGATTTTTGTGATTAAATTGTAATGATATGAAATACAACAGTGTACGAAATATGACAAGAAACTCTTGCATTAAATTTTATAGACTATGAAATGATAAACATGGATTCGAGTTTTATTTCTTCATGACAGGACTCAAAATATAATGCAAAAGTTTCAAAGCATCCGAAAAAAGTTTTTTGGACAACCAGAAACGTTATACCATTAAGTTTCTTAAACTTTTATAAGCAAACAATTAAAGTTTATAAAAAATGCAAGGAAATCTGTGTAAAATTCCAATATTCAAGTACCATATTTAAATTTACTCTTTGGTATCTCACCATCTGAAATTTTTTAATGACATTAGAAAACATTGATGACATATTTATTTATCAACTAATGTAAATAAAAATTTTTAGGATTCCACTGGAAAGGAGAAATTGTGATACACCAATTCTCTTGGATGTAGACAACAAACCAGATGGTAGACCACATAAATACCTCGAATTTGCTCCATCTGCCCTTACATCAAAAGATGCTGGACAAACGCTATTGCCGCTGATCGACATTCAGCCGGTGACTTCGGATCCACCAGTGCCGCTCATGGGAGTCAGTCTGGATATTAAAAGAGCTAAAAACTCTGGAGGCTTTCTTATGTTAAAAACCAAAACTTACAATACATTGTGGCATCTGAATGATTAAGAGCGAAGTGAAATGTACAGATTGTAATTATGTATAGTATATAGAATATGTGACGTCAAAAAAGTTTCAAGCTGATTAAGACTATGCAAACTTTCATCCATCAAATAGACAGTGAAGACGGGGTTGCTTAGGCTAATAATACTTGTCGATTTTTAATTAAATGATGAACTTATGAAAAAAAATATGAGATACGCCACCGGGTAAGCTTTGAAAATTCGCTCAAGAGAAAAAATGCGAAAATTTTTAGTAATTAGTAAAAATGTAAAAAATAGTTATGCATGCCATATTAACTTTTCCCTCATACGCGATTTACACGTAAATATTTTGTTGTTTACAATTTTTCTTTGCATCCCGTCATTTGTGTTCGTATCTTAGCCCCTGCCATTGCAATTAAATTTGTTAATTAGTATTTTTTTCGTACCAATAGTTATTTTCCTTTTTCCAAATGTTTAACTCATTATTTCGTTCTTTGATACTATATTTATTCTATTGTCTAAATGTGAATACTTAATCTTTGTCTCTGCTTAATGGCCTATATTTGTCTGTTATATGTGTATGTACTTTTCTTAAATTTCCATTAATATCCAAATATTTATGTTTTATTATTAATACTCCGATTACCAGAGCATTACTACTTCTGGGAACTATTTGACTAATAATGTAGGAATCACCTCATGCTACGTAAAACTGAAACAAAGCTTGAAATAAAGATTTTCTGAACTAATAGTCGCGAGTTCTGGAGAATTTAGACTTATTTTTCACAGGATTTTAGATTACTTTATACTAAAATTCACGAGCCTCCTACAGACACTCAATGGTACATGAAATTATACTATCAATAACTTAGTATCACCTGGTATGTTTTATGTCATACTTTCTGTTCTATTCGCAATTCCAAGGAACAATCACGTATTGATCCAATCGTTTTTAAAATAATCGTAAGATATCTTCAAGGCTCGGATTTATTGTACTTTTGAAGTACAGACAAATACAATTCATTGATAACTCCCTATGCAAAGTACGATAATTGTAAATACCGATTTATAGAGAATTTCGATTAAAAAAAAAAATTTTTTTTTGAATGTCTAGGGAAGAAGAAAAAAAAAAAAAAAAAAAAAAAAAAAAAAAAAAAAAAAAAAAAAAAAAAAAAAAA